ACCAGGGTGGGGAGGCATTTTATTTTTTTGAGGCTGTTTATCTCTTAACTATTCCAAAGTCTTTTCGAGTTTGCTCTTTGGTTTCAACTATATACATAGACTTCTTGGACAGTAAAATAAGAATAATTTCACAATTACTTCACCATCTAGTTTATGAACGGGGATCCATTTACTCATAGGAGGAGATTAAAGAGTTAGAAATCTCTCTGGGAGCGACGAAGAGGCTCAGCCGTGAAAGCACCTGTGACCATGCCTGCCAACCTGAGCTCAGTCTCCAGGGCCCACATGGTAGGAGAAACAACTCCAGCACCTTGTCTCTGGCCTGTGTCCACCCACGCACATAAACAAACACAATCAAAACCTTTTCTGTTTTGAGGGTTTCACTATGCAGTACTGGCTGATCTGGCGCTTGTTATGCAAACCAGACTGGTCTTGAACTCACAGCCTGTCTCCTGAGTGTGCTGGGGTTAATGGCATGCGCCACCATGCCATTAATATAATAAGAAAAAGTTAAAAAGTGTCTCAAATATATATATATTATATATATAAAATCATAAAATATCAACAATCACTAAATAAACTGAGCACTTACACAATCAGTAGTGATAATGTGTATCAATTGGCATTTTGGCAACTCTAAGTAGATTACACCTATAATTCTACAAAATTCTTCCATATTCCAATTCTTCATAATGCTTCCATGAGATAGCATGATAAATGCTTCATAGCACACATTCTAAAATGTAATTGCTCTACCACTTTTCGGGCAGGGAAACGTGTAAGGAATGGCTGGTGAGGGCTGGGAAGTCATTTGAGAAGACAGTGGGTTTAACGTGGAATGCTCACTTGTGTGTCGGCTTGGTCCTGTCCCTACCTCCAGATCCCAGCAGCCACAACCACAGCCTCTGTCCATGGAGGGCACAGGCTGCATAAGTGCTTATTATTGGCATTTAGAAATTATTAAATTTCTAATTATTTAATAGAAATAATATTTAATAATATTTTAAAATAATTATTATTATTTATTACTCACTGGCCCCATAACCCCCAATCCCAAGTATATAAATGATTAAAAAACCCTTCATTTCTTCCAATGGATTGCCTGCCAATGTTTTTAACAAGTCATCTGACCATTAACATTTTGTCTCCTTAGCTGCTAACAAATAAACAGAGATAATCAAGGTGTTTAAGTATAAGCTTCAATTTTTAAGGTAAAGAAACACCAAATAAAATCATACTCTTTTCCTTATTTCATTGAAACAGATTTTAGTTTCCAAAATGTAATAAGAAACAAAGGTAGCAATTGTATAAGGAGAACATCTCTCCCTAGATAGAGGTAATGGTTTGATTTTTAATCACGAGCTAGAAATACTTTGTCTTTACCTTGAGGTGCCCTTAAGGAAAAGTGATTAACATGCCAGTCTAAACATACATCCTCCCACCCGGTTAAGTTTATATATGTTGGCACCTCAAGTTGCATATTCACGAGAAATATTCAATGCATAAATTCTTAATAGCAAGCACTTGCCTCTGCTTTGTGCAGCCTGTCTTATAATAGAATGTAGACGGTGCTAAAAAATTTAAATGTCTTTGTGAGGCATGGGGAGCTTATATTCTCCGTGGCTCGAATATGAAATTTCTCCCATAGATTCAAGTCGCTTGATCAGTGGTCCCTAGCTGGTGGTGATGATAGGGAAGGTTGTAGAGCTTCAGGAGATAGAGTCGCACAGAGGAAGTGAGGTCTTAGTCAGGCTTCACTTCCTGTTTGCTATGTTTCACATTTCTGCGGCCATGACTTCCCTGTCACAAAAGACAGTATCCCCTCAAAGCTTAAGTCAAAATAAACCCACCTCAAGTTGCTTTTACCAGCGTTTTTGTCAAAGCAATGAGAAACCAAATACAATTCTAAAGAATATATAAACAAACATCAATGAAGAACAGCATATGGTTCCTAGAGAATTACTGAATCGATTCTCCCTAAATCACATGTTGAAATCTCACAGGCACAGCTGGTTTACGTGAGGTCTCCATGGAGTATGACTGATGTCCTTCTGGAAGGGAAAATGGCAGGAGACGGAGAGATTGGGGCTAGCAAAGTCACCAGATGCTTGTCAAAGACAAAGGACTCAACTAAGAGAGCATGGCTGTGGCAACCTTGAGATTGGATCTGTACCTTTACAACTCCATTTGTTATCCTTTGTTATGGTCTGAGCAAGGTGGACAGAAGCAAATTTAAAAAGAAAAAAATCACCTGAGCAATTTGTGGTGAGCAGTTAAAAAAATCAAAAAGAAAAAAAAGCATTCATGAGGATGGGACAAAAAGGGGAGAATTAAGTGGGGTGAGGACCATTCACTCTGCTGGATCCAATCTATGTGGTAGGACTACAGGAGACAATGGAGCTGCCACCTGGTTTAAAACTCCCCACTGCAGCTCTGGTTCATTAGAAGCAGATGGTCAATCATCTTCGGAGGGCCGAGAAGCCGCTCTCATCAAGATGTGAGTCAGTACTGCTTTCCTTTGACAGGGGATGAGCTCCGGGCCACTACAATAGTTTAAGAAAGAAAAGGAGGCTTGAGAGAAGCCGAGATTAGAACTCTGAATCCACAGATAAGTGACGATCATGAGCTGTCAACTCAGTGAATTAGGAATGGAGCCTGTCTTGTTCATAAGCAGTTTCTTCATCAGCACGCATTAGCAGGGCAAGGACAAGGTTGTTAAACCATCTTTGTACATGGAAAGAATCTGCACTGATCACATGCACTTTTCCCCCAGTGTTAGGAATCAAAGCCAGGCTTTTGAACATGCTAAAGAAGATTCTACCACTAAGTTATAGCCCCAGCCTTTGTGTGCTTGTTATTATTACCTCTATGTACCTAAATTCCTCTTCCTATGAGCACAGAACAGGATCTGATGCTTATCAATCTGACAAAATTGACTTCATCTTCCTGGGTATAGTTAAGAGGGTCTGTCTCTGGAAAGTCTCACTAACATCCTCCTCCCTTCTTTTGTGTTTCATTTCTAAATGTCTGTTAAGTACCACTGACTCAGCCTTCTAGTCTACAGGGACCTAATGGTCGTCTGCCATGTGTCAAGTTTTGTAGTAAGAAACCCAACTCCTCTCTCCTAGACAGCCATTCACCAAGCACAGCACTAGCACAGGGAGCTCTCAGAGAATCCAACAGAATGGCCAGGTCTCATTTCAACACCAGAAACATGTGACCTCAGCGCAGAGACAGACCCAAGTCTCAGGTACTCACCCACTTACTCAACCCACCTCACCGGGTTGTCATGAGAAAATATATATGTGAAATACATGGCTTAAAGCCTGGACTAGAGCTAGCAAACATCAGTACTATTTATTATAATTAAGTTAATAACTGACAAATGAGAGTCTGAGATATTAAAAAAGCTAACTTGGCCTACCAAAGTTAATTTTCACTTGACTTGTGGCGAACTGCTCTCAGCTCCAGCATGGCCCTTACCTGAGGTTTCCAGTTCTCAGGAGAGAGCCTCTACACAGCATCCTGAGTCACAGAGGTGCATCCCAGGCAAAAAACCACTTGAAGGCGTGGATGAAAAGGAAAGCAGAGTCAGGCTGTGAAAGAAGCCATCCAGGTGCTGTTCTCTTTCCTTCTGCTTAGAACCATTGAGGCGCTGTCTAGTGTTATCTTCAATTCCAAGTTTAACAAGAAAGCAAACAGTAAGACATCAAAGCTGTACTGAATTTTTAACAGCTTTCTGCTCACGCTGGGCAAGCAGCATCCGAAAGCACAGCAAGCCCCAGGACAGACACTGACTGTACCCTAGACAGTTAGCTCAGGCTCGTGGAGTGTGGCGCTTGACAAGCACGCCCCCGGGCAGCTGGCTGCTTGACTTAGGAGCTCTGGTTAGAGAATCGTCGTATCTTTCTTCATCCGTCAGTTTTCTCAGGGTAACTTACCAAGGGGCTGCCCCTTGACAAAAGGGAAGATTCTCCGCTGTGCTCAAGGTCACTGCAATATCACTCAGATCTTAACGTGGCATCCTGTTGGACTGTAACTTTAAATACAAACTACCCTGTGACCGTGGTCTGTTTTATACTCAAACCACAAAATCACTTTACTGCTTTCCCAGATTACTGCTATGTTCTCCAGCATTGTGTCTTAAAGGTGCTTGCTGGGACCTAGAAAGACTTTTCAACAGGAAATAGTTAAATGAAATAATAAAAAAAGAGAAAACTCTACTGACAGTCTGTGAACAATCACTTTAAAATGTATGAAACTCCAAATTAACATGGAGTTAGGACCAGGTTGAACACAATGAATGACCTTTGGGTGATACTATTCAAACCATGACAGTTGATTTAGCCAAAAAATCCCTTACACCTAAGGTCTATGCCTAAGTAGGTTACATCAAGACCTAAAGGATACACAGAATGACCTTGGGAAGAAATAAAAATGACAATCCTTAGAAAATACCTGTAAAACAACCTAGTCCATGGCAGTATACAGCACCCAGGAAATGTAATTCTGGTTACTGTGCGTGCATGTGCATGTGTGTGTGTGCATGCGTATATTTGTCTGTCTGTGTTTGCACATGTGTGTGATCACATATGCAAGTATAGGACAGGACAGGGGTGCAGGTGACTGTCCCGGGCCACACTGACCTCCTGAGGCCTCAGAGAGCCCTGCCCCTTTGCTGGTTCCCCTATTTCCTCCCTAGCTTTTCAGAGACTCTGGAGCATGGTGCCTTTAGTGGATTCTCAGTAGGGCTAGCACAGGCTCAAGTTCAACTGTGCACAAAATGAAAGATCAAATATTATCATGATATAGAATACTTAACAAAGTAATCAATGAAAACACACCTGAGGTCACAGAAGACATATTTCATCATGTAAATATATAATAAAATTCATTCCCCCATTCAGTTGTTTTGGATTTTTGCCCCCTTGCTGTATGCTTATAAAAATAAGATAAACGTACCATACTTAAAACTGAAAAAAAAAAGTTTTCTTAAAATGTCAAATTTTAGGACTTTTATTTACAAAATGGATTGACTCTTGTTTTATACAAATCAAAAAACCTAAACTTTTAAAAATAGAAAAAACTTCCCACACTCTTGGGACCGACTTTTTTGCAACCAAGGGAGTTAGAACTCGGTGTCTGCTTCTTATCAGTCCTGGTCAGGCAGACTGGTCACAGCTGAGCAGAGGGCGGCCAAAGGTCTGTCAGGTCAGGGTCTGAAGGAGCAAGATCTTCTCATTAATGCAGAAGCGGTGTAGGACCACCATCAGGTTCTCACCGCAGCGGGAGACCTGGCGCTCCATGGCCAGGCGGAAGTCCTCCTTGACGCCTTTGGTGATGCCTCGAGTGACCGTGTGGTGCCTGAGGTCAGCGACAGGGAAACAGAAGGAGACCACGGTTAGAGCAGCAGCACAGCCCAGCGCTACCTGGGTAGGAACCAACCTGCCTCACAGCTAAGTGAAGTCACACATTTACACCAAATTCATCAAGAAAAGCGTAACCAGGTACCGACTCCTGTCCATCCTTCTCAGACTAGGAAGACATCTCTCCTGCCCTAGACTGGGTATTTTATACAGCCAATGTCACCTGCTTCACCTCTCAGCTCCTGAAGCTCACACAACTCAGTGCCTCGGGGGGTTTAGCTTCCATTCTCACTGGCCTCACTGTGCTGGAGGCCAGGCCACAGACCCCAGAGAGAACAGCAGGAGGAGGGACCCGCGTCCTAGTCACCAAGGAGCTCTCTGGCAGGTGCTGAGTCAGGCCTCTCTCCACAGAGACAGGACAGGGCAGACCCTTGAGTGCTGTGTTCTTTCAGGAAAAGCAGGGGCCCTGGGGCCCTGGGGCCCTGAGACAGAACCGTGTCACAGGTTGGAAAGGCAGACCCACTGCCTGTGAGGTTCTCTGAAGAGCAGAGCCTTCCAGGTGCTTGTTCGTCTGTGGGTGGTTAGTGGGAGCAAAAGCCAAGAGGTGTCTAACTGTGCCCCAAGAGCCGTGCGTTAGGACGGGAAAGGACAAACAGAATCCCATAAAGTGAGGACAACAAAATGAACAGAGGAAAAGAAAAGTCAGCAAAACTCAGTGGACTCAACCACAAACAGAGGAGTTTTGGCTGCTAGTTTGGTAACGTAACAGTTTTAGACAAACGAAACCCATCTGTTCCCCACCCCATGCCCTGACTCCTCCGAGTGACACGGTTTTCACGTAGTGAGAATCAGGCTGTAGCTATCACCCTGAACACTTCTGTCTCTATGGCACGTTGTTACGTAGGAAGGGAGCAGGACGGCAACACCACCGTGCAGGCTTGTCTAGACTGGGGAAGACAGCGCTGCAACAGCCCACGCCACTTAAAGGCTTTATAGGAGGCAGCAGGGACGTGGGAAAACAGGTCTGCATGGAGACCAACTCCATGGGTCGGTGAGGCTGAGGGTCTGGTTCCTCCTGGGCACAAACAGGTGCACATGGTTTTATGTTCCCTTGCGATACTTCTATTCTGGGTCCCTAGGCTGCAACCCAAAACTAGACAAGTTACATGCAACTACAGGCCATATTTCAGAGGACAAATTCTCCCCTAATACTACTAAAGACACAATTAACTGTTGCACTCTGCTCGGCAGAGGACCATTTCTATACACTGACAGATGCACAACAATCATGTATGCATAAGAGCCTCTATGCAAGTCTGGATGATGTCAACTACAGTCAGGCTCCACACACAGCGATGGGCTGCATTGGTCCCCTACAGCCTGGGTACACAGCAGTTTGGTTTGAGTCAATGCAATAGCATGGTGCATGACAGGTGTGTTGCTGGTGTTACGTGGCACATGACTGTAGATATGGCTTAAGAGGAGAACCTAGCTAAGTAGGATAACATCATTTTAACTTATTAAATATTGCCAATTCAGAAAGGTAAGGTCTGAGACAAAGCGCCTGCTTTAAGGCAGGGAAAGCTATGTGAAAATCTTGTTTAGAGCAAAAAAGTCCTGATCATTATATGGAAATCCACAATAAAAGTCTGCTTGTGGTACATGTATGTCAACATATTTAAATACTCATGACTCAAAACCTTGGATTTCCTCTGTACTCACTTAGCTAATGCAGTTTAGCAAACTTGTTTCTCCCCCCCAGATCCATAATGATTTTTAAATTCAACACAAACACACTGGCAACTCATGGAAAAAAAACTTAAAAATGTTACAATATTTACAACCAGATGGTTTGCCAAGGAATGCAGAACAAATTAAAAACGAATAAATAAAGCATGAAAAAGAGCACCGAGGGACAAAGAGCTGGAAACCATGGGCGGGAAAACATGTTGACAGACAGCACACTATGAGCAGGTGTTTTCCACTTGGTACCTGTCAGCAGTCTGTATGCTGGGCTGAAGCACAGGTAAGAATTCCTGCTGCAGTAACCCCATGGGAGGGCTAGAAGGCCTTTAAAAAACAGCAAACAGCGGCATTCAAACACCCACACCAGCTCACCCTGCACCGCAAAACAACACTGCGGAGAAGATACACAGGACTGGAAAGCGGACTGCACAGAAACTGTGACCTCCACAACCCCTGGCCGTGCTGCGTCTTCAGGGGACTGGGAGAGGCTGAGGGCCCCACCGCACCCGCTGCTGGTGCCAGTCTAGAGGCATCTTGGCTCCTGGTCCCAGAGCTCTTCCCACTTGTGACTTGGAGTAAAAAGGCATCAGCGAGGAAGAGGGAGACGAGATGGTAGCGGGAGGGGAATATCTGAGAAGATAGGACTCAAAACCCAGCCTCCTTCACTCACTCTTCTCACGCCCACGCCGGTCCCAGAAATACACCTGGGACACTGGCTAGCCACCTTAGCAGGACCGAAGCCCCAAACTGAGAGGTCCTTCAAAGAGGACCCAAAAGGGCTGGTAATATTTTCAATAAAGAAAGGGTGTTTGAGCTTTGGGGGAAAAACAAGGCTGGGGGCCATGGTCTTGCAGAATTCTGTAATGAAGATTTAACACATTAGCCGGTGATCACTCAGAGATTTTTCCCTTTTGATTCAGTCTAATGCAGCTATGGTACTGAGGATATCAGCACAAAAACGTTCTCTCATTTAGCACATGTCAGAACAACATACCTATATAACAAACCAAGAACTTATGCCTCCTTTGGCCTGGCACCAGGTGCCCCGTGTTTGTACTGTACCTGCTTGCATCCGAGATGCTACAACTAGGACGGACTCACAACCTTACCCCAAGGGGAGGAGAGGTACACTGCTCACAACATCTCTGCCACTCATCTGGAGGGACCACCCAAAAGGTCTGCAATGGCTTCAGAGAATTTGTTTGGAACCCAAGGGAAAAGGAATATAGATAGTTTTATTCAAGAGTCTAATCACACCTCAGTCAGTCAAAGCTCTGTCTTATGCAGTTAGATTCTCTTGGCATCATTTAGAGATAGGTTATCTGAAATACAGATTTCAAATCCATGGTGAGACCCTTACAGAGAACATTCCTACAAGGTCAGGTCACGAGGTAACAAACCCTAATCCTTTTTCCAGGTTGAATCAACTGTGGGTTTTTAGGAGGCTTGTCTTCTAAAGAAAGTTCAAGCAAGTTACGGTTAGGTTGATCAAGGAGGGAGATCCCTGGAAAGCAGGATGGACGCCTCCTTGGGCAAGTAGCCTCCTCCAGTGTCAACAACACTGGAACGGACAGGTCCTCACTTTAACTCCGAGTCCTCGGGACATGTGCAGGTTAGCACTGTTCAAGTCAAGACAACATGGGCAAAGAAGAAGGGCCCAGTCTCAGTGACTGGAGCCATTCCTTCAAACTGCCAGACAGCCAAGCATTCTCTAAGTCACGGGGCGATCCTCTGCAGACGGAGCCCTCTTTAGGAAGAGTCTGACTCTAAGACCATATAACAATTTGAATGGTGAGCTTTTGATGAATTAAAAGCTTTCTTAAAGATGTTTCCATAATCAATTTTTGACCTAGAAGTCCCTAAAGAAAACAGTTTACCTGGGTTTCCATATACAGAAGTAATCTATTCTCACACATGGTTAACGACACTTGGAATCAAGCAGTTAATATTCCCCATGACTTTGGCTCATCATCAAAGTAGTCGATGGAGAAGGGGAGAAGACAGTGTCTGGGACTTCCTGACTAAGCGCTCTACAAAGGGCCTCATTTGCTCCTAAACATCACCTCAGTTCCCTACTGGAAATGTTGAAGACATACAATATCACTTTCAAGATGGGGAGAGGATCTTCTGTTCTTTAGGGAAGATTCCACTGGGCCCTACTCTTGGTAAGGAATAATGAGGAAGGAACGCCCACCATGGGCCAAATTCCTGAGTTACAGAAACCCAACAGAAGCATTTCTTACCTCGCTCCTCCAACACCCCTAGGACTCTACAAAGACAAAGTGAGGACCATGGCTTTCAATAACTAAGACTTGCTTCTGCCCAAACTGAGGGGTAAATGAGGTTTCCAGTCTCAGCCATGCATTCCCCTGCTCTGGGTTCAGTCCCTTGGCTCCACTCTGACACTGACTGACAGACACACTGAATATGCAGGAAGCCAGGAGGAAGGGTACAAACTGCACATGGCGCTTAGAATAGGGAGGATCTATTAGCCAAACTGCAATGAGGGCTGAGGATAGAAGCGAGATTTATGAGCTATTTAAAAATCATGGATGGCCACTAGGTATTCTCATCTGAGACAACGTGTGCTTTCTGCAGTGTCCTGGTTAGGGGTACACCTGGGCTCAAACGCCTGTACAATCATTTTTTGGGGCAGGTATTTTAGAGGCACTAGAACCAGCTCGTTCACTTTGTGCTGTGTAAGCCACAGAGCTTGGAAGGGCTTCAGACATAGTTATAAAGGAAACCTGCAGCCCCATCCAGTACCATGTTAAGCATGGCTGCGTTCATTTAAAACCATTTTATGTCTAACCAGAAGTGAATACCAAATCTCGGAAAGGAAAAGGCATATAGAAAAATCTCTAGTAAAAAATTTCAAAAGTAACAAAAATATCCCCATTTAAGCAATGGTTTTGTGCCCCCCACCCCCACCCAGGAAATGTAGCTAAGAAGCACAAGTCTCTAAAAGACGCCTAGAATCATGTGGACCCTCAAAAACAGAGACCAGTACTGAATTCCTCTCCATTAAACTTCTGAAAGGTACAGAAACTTACGAACAAGTCATGCAAGCACATGAAAGGAGAGCACGCAGCTTCAAAGAACAAAAGATTGTCTGCTTACTTGATCAGCATTCCTTGATTTGGGAGTAACTCCAGATGAATCTTCCCTCCTTCCTGGGTCCTTAAATAAGCAAATTCCTCCAGCATGTCAATGTCTTCGGCCACATTCAGGTCAACCAACAAGGAACAAGCTGCCCCGGTCTCCCAGGGAAGGAACAGGTTCTCAGCAGATGAGGGAGCTGCTGTTGTCCTCCAACTAACAACCACAGTCAGTTCTTGACAGGTGCCGGTTTTCACATTAACCAAATGGCCCTATGAAAAGAACTCTTGGCACAAGTTCTGCCAGGCGGGGCTGGCTGTGTAACTCAGTGCCATCAATCTCCAGACCCTATCCGACTAAAAAGCATTAGCGCATGGTTTTCCTATAGAGATATTGAAACAGGTTCTACATGGCCATATGAGAAATTTCTTATCCAGAAATCAGGGATAGTAGGGGTGGGGAGGATGGTCTGGCTGACAGGATATGTATGAGTCATAAGAAGAAAGATTTCTTCAGACCCAGCAGATAAGTCTTTCAGATGCTTCAAGAAAGGAAGTGCCTGAGAGCCCAGAAAATCTCATGTGAAATATTAAATGGTGCATTCTTCTGGGGAAAAGTTATATAACTTTCATTAATCTTTTAAAAAATTCACTGCTCAGACACTGGGACATATGTAGCACAGGGAATGGACTCTGAGAAACGGTGAAATGAAAGCAGCCAAACCAGGGCGTCCCCTCAATTCAAAGGCGGTCTTCCCTCACGGACAGCTCCCAGAGCTGCTGTGCCTCTTCAGCATACCCTTTGGTAGCTGTCCTGGTGCAGGCCCAGAGCTAAGAACTGATCCCAGGGGCAGCCTATATCCAAGGAGAGGCCACAGATGAAGGCCAAGGAACTATTGCAGGCTTTGCTAAACCAACTGCCCTGGGCTTGCTAGGAACCTGTAGGCTATTCTGACTGTCCCAATTCCCTGAACTCTATCTTTGAAACGTCACTGGCTTTCACCAAGCAACTGCCACGGCCCCATTTCGAATCCTCGCTCCTCCTCCCTTCCCACACTTGGTTAAAGCAGTGTCCTTGCTGACAGGGGCTCACACAGTGTGATGGCCTGTGATTACTGCAGACAAAGGATACTGGTAACATAGCTGAAGAAGTTCTCATACTGGAAATTCCCCTGCTGGCAGATCTTACTGATGGCTTTCAGGAAGAGGTTCTCTCCCCGTGGCCACTCCTGCTGGAGCAGTACAATCACATGGCCCAGCGCCATGTCATCTCTGTTGTCTGTAAAAGCTCTCAGCTGTAAGACAAAATTTCATGTAGAAAAATAAATCTAGGACATCCAGGGCACAGCAAATATCCCTTCCTAAAGGAGCTCCATATGTCAGTATAGGCTACAAGTCATTACTGTTAAGACGATAAAACTGTGGCTGACAACACCCTTCTAAGGAGGGTGGATTTAAAGGAGACCTCAGGTTCCCTCTGAGGGCTCGGCACATGAGGCTGACACGTCTTTAAACCGAAGCTGGACATGAAGAGGTGAGGTGAACTGGGAGTTTCTGAGCTTGAGAATCAGGGATAAAGTTGAGTATTGCTACATAGTGAAGAGAATAAACAGCAACTTTTGTTATTGGTTTTTCTTGTTCTGCTTATCTAAGACAGGGTCTCGGGAATCACAGGCTCGCCCTACAATTGTTAGATAGCTGAGGATATTCGTGATCTTCCTACCTTCCCCTCCCAAGTGCTGGGATTATAGGTATCTCTCACCATGCCCAGTCTATGCCGTGCTGGGAACTGAACCCAGGGTTCATGGGTGCTGGGCAAGCACCCTACCAATTCAGTCATCTTCTCAACCTTAGAGATATCTTTTAGGAAACAACTGTGAGTGGAAAGATGGGCAGGAAGCTATAACAGAATGCTTGAGATGGGGCTGGGAAGAAGGAAAGACAGCAAGCAATAAGGTGTGAACTGCAGAAAAGGCCAAGGTTTAGTTTGAAACGGACAGCTGCAAAACACCACACTTCAGCCGGCTTCTGTGCCCCCAGCAGCTCTAGTGATTAGGTCAGTGTGGGACTACTGCATAAAGTGTAAGCAGCACGGCTACCCGTGGCACGCCAGCCTAGTGAGACAGGGACAACCCCACCCGAGGCTCTCTTCCACTGCAGCCAAGGTCTGTGTGTCTTCAAGAGTCTCGGAAGCTTCCAGTGTTCCTGGGCCTTTGCTGGTGCTGACCCTCATGTCTAAAAGAATTAACTCCTCATACATCTCTGACCCTAAAATATATTTATATTGCCTTCTTCTGTAGCTAATACATTCTAACACATACAATGTCAAAATTGTTTACTGTACACCAACCATAGCAGGCAAGGGAATTTGTCTGTCTGCTCTACTACTTACTACCCATACCCTTCTCAAGGACGGGGTTTATTTCCTACTCACCTTTGCCTAGTGCAGTTTAAAGGAAAAAAAAAAAAAAGCCAAAAGAACACTTGTTATTTCCTAGGGCACGAAATTTTCCCACCTGCCTCGTAAAGTACAAAACAGCTATAAACAAAGCTTAGTCGTGCCAGCTCACCAAGACATACTTCAAAGGCAATGCGTTTCCTGCTATTTCCATTTTAAGCTCACCTTAAAGCACGCTAGCATCAAGTGCAGGCAGTAGGGCATAATAGCCTTACTGGTACATGGCAGCAGCTTCAGATCCAAACCTAGCAGAAGGCCAAACTGTTAGTGAATGCTAACGTCACAGAGAACAGTGCTGACAAACCAATGTGCCGCTCACTCCCTCAGTAAGATAAACAGCAGCTACAGAACACAGCACAATTATATTCTGTGATGATGACACTGATTTTTGGTCTCAAGATTTCATTTCTCAATTTTCTTTCCCATCCTACTAAATAATTATTATAAAATATTTCAGATATGTCGAACATTACACAGAGGGAATCTCACAAACCCAATGTGCTTGTCATTCAGCTTCTGTGTGTATAAGTATCTAGCCTGTACGTACATATGGGCATCATGTGTGTGAGTGCCTGTAGAGGTAAGAAGAGGGTCTCAGATCCCTTGCGTTGGAGTTAACAGATGTATAAGTTGATGTGTGGGTTTTGGGAACCTAACTCGTCTGCAAGGGCACCGTGTGCTCTTTACTGCTGAACTACCTCTCAGCCCCGTCTCTTGGTATTACAAAATGCTAACAACTGGCTACTCATGTTCAGAAGCACAGGGCAGCCGTTCCTTTGCCTCACTCAGGACCACTGCTGAACAGCCTTGCTTTTTGCAGTCTGTGTTGCCTGGTTTTGTTTTTTTCTACCAAATTTAATTTCCTTTTGCTATAACAGATTTCTATTTCATTTTGTGTCATTTCTTTTATAAGATGTGCTTATCAAAAACTTTCCTACTGCATCTAATTTTTAAATTTCTTGGCATAAAATTGTTCTCTTACTGTCCTTTTGACGTAACCAGGATTTGCTGTAATACTGTCTTCATTCCTGATATTTCTAATTTGAGGCCACTGTCTTCTGGGTCAAACCTGCTAGGGCTGTATCAAGTTTATGCATATTATCACAGAAACAACCTTTGACTCTGACTCATTTTCTTAGTTCTGCTCTAATGATTATTTCCCTCTTCTACTGTCTCCATATTTAATCTGCATATCTCTTTCTTATTTCTTTGATGAAAATTTAGATGATTAGCTATGCATTAGTTTTTACTAGCAATGTGGCATCAGGTAAAGCTCAAAACACCCCCTAGTGCACCAAGGGATGATGTTCTTCAGAGATAAAAAACTCAGGAAGTGGACTCAGGGCTTGGAAAAGGTGTAGATTCACAGCTGCTTATGGACACAGCCTGGAGGAACTGTGACATGTCTTAGCCACGGCCTTAAAACAACTGTGACAGAGAACAAGACTTCACTCTACCTTTTCTAAACTTGGGCTTTACTTTGGAGGGCTCGTCCTGTGATTTCCCTCCATCCTGTATGGGTAGCACCATGTAGCACATCAGGTCCAGGACCTTCTCACATGTCATCTGCAGGAGAGAGGACACAGGCACTAGTGTGGAGCTCTGAGTGAACGGCAGCCGCCACAGTGCGGAGGTGGACAGCATTCCTGTGAACGGCTGAGCACTCAATGGTGAACACAAGGAAACACACGGTTAGATTACGTTTATGAAACAGGGAAGAAAAACCTATTCTCACTGTTAGAAATACCACAATTTTGCATAGACTAGTAAGTATATACAATGCCTATCTCTAAACCACACAGCAAGTTCAAAGAGTCTGGGATACACTTTCTCAAAAATAAAAAAGAAGAAGAAGTAAACAGAACTGACGTTCAATTCCAGGGAAGGTACACTACAAAACCAGGAAGTCAAACAAGATCACTGTGTTTCTCAGCAGCAAATTAAGTAAGTGATCCAAGTGGGAAGGTCAATCTAGGAAGCATGCATTGACTTGAAAAACCCCACAGGCAAGGGAGATTCCAGGGTGCCACGGAGCCTGTGAGAATGCCCCTTGAGCCACCAGATACTCACTCTATACTCCCCCAGTGCAAAGTGACAGGTGGCCAGCTGGATGAGTGCCCTCTGGTGTTCTAAAGTCCCCTGTCCTGTGATCTGCGGCTGAGAAAGGGATCCTTGGAGAGCTGCTAAGTGATGCAGACTGGCTATTGCCTTCTTATATTGACCCTTGGAAAGACACAAACACAAAGAGGAAAAATACTGACATTAAAACACACACACACACACACACACGTGCAGGTAGCACAGAATTTCCGATAAAGGACATTTTAGATGCATCATTTCTATAGAACCAGCTGGCTACTTATGAAGGACAGGCGCAGCGAGCTGTCCATGTCAACATCTTGGCAGCAATTGTCTGCTCTCCTCATTCGGGTAGCTACAGAACAGTGTACTAGGCTGGATGGCGGCAGGGCAGAGGGAAGAAGTGAACACGGAAGTAGCGGTGCTGTTTTAGGAAAGCTCCTACTCAGACAAATGGTACATGCTCTCTCTCATACGTGGACCCAAGCTTTGGATGTTTACATGTGGGTATGAGTGTAGGTAGAGGTCATGAGACTAGAAAAGGGACCACAAGTGAGAAAAACAAAAGCCGAGGGAGGGAGGGAGGGTAGTAGAACTTTTATGATGACAGAGAAAGAGGCTGCCGGAGGTAAAACGGCACAAAGATGGCTGCTGGGTGATAGGGATCAACTGAAGCAAATGATATTCTGTATGGCAACCTAACACGGACAAATATTCATTAAGAAAACTGAGAAGTATTTACGTTATCTTTAAGGTGCAAGAGGACGGAGATAAACCGGCTGTGTGGGTTCTTGCTTCTATACACAGGAGAGCAGGACTATGACTGAACACACCAAAAGTCATCAGGAAAGTGAGACACTTGTGGATGAAAGTGGACTGTAATCTCAACCCAGAATACTCCAAGGTGTGGCTGGGCAGTGGAGCACAGCACAGCTCTGATGCTAAGACAGTTTGCAACAGTCCCGCCCTGCACAGCCACAGCAGCTGGAAATGCCGGTCACAGTACCTGGTAGATGATCATATCTGTGAGGAAGATTCTCAGCCACAGCCAGGTGTCAGTCTTCCACGCCAAACAAATTCTTGTAAATTCTGTGTGAGAATTTGAAAGCAAATTCACCCCAAACTGGTGAACACACAGGCAGGAAGGAGAAAAACACAGCAACTAGTAAAAGATGGATGGTTCCTTTCCCCAGTGCTCGGCAATTTCTGGTGGGCTGTAAACAGCTGACATGCAAGCAGACTTTTTCCACACCTACTTTTTTAGGTATGCATGTGCAACAAGGTGCAGGTATGGAGGTCAGATCACACGTGGCAGGAGTCGGTCCTGTCCCTCTACCATGTGGGTCCCAAGCCATGAGATCTGTTGGCAGGTGCCCTTATCCACTGAGCCATCTTAGCAACCCAAGAAGGATTTTTACACACCAACGCTGTAAGCACGTAGTTCATGCCAAGAACTACAGTTTCCAAGTGTCACTCCGCCTATCTGGTTTGTTTTTTAAGACGAGGTCTTACGTAGTCCCTGCTGCTCCTTTTATCTGTTTTTAAAAAGGTCGATTTATGACTAAGAAAACTGCTTCCAAAACTAGTCATATCTACAATAAACACATCAAAAGAAAGCGAGGCTATATTCCCTTAGAAACTAGAACACAGCACATCTGACGGGACCGTCTGGTCACGTGCGAGCAGGCCACAGGATGCACGCTCACACCCAACAGGCAATCAATGGGCCCTGATTTAACGGGAAAGCAAAAGTGATTGGTGAAGTAGTGAGCCCGAGAAAGCAGGCACATGAATCGTCTCTATCTTCCTTCCAAAGGAAGCAGCCAAGTGGGCAAGGGGATGCACATTTTTGATCCTAGCACTTGGCAGGCAGACTCAGGAGGATCTCTGTGAGTTCCAAGCCAGCCAGAGCTACATATTGAGATCCTGTCTCAAAAAGGAACACAGGCTTTCTCTATGTTCAAGGCAACAAAGCTGATGGCAGACAGAAGCCACACTGCCTTCTGCACTGCAGAGCAGAGAGCCAGAGCGTGGAAAAGAAGGGAGCAGCACAAACACAGGGAGGAAGAGCAAACACCGTCCCTCCCCTCTGCCCAACCACGCCAGCCTAGGAGGAACTCAAAGATGATGGTTAATTCAATAGGTTTCCCAATCAAAAAAGAACCCTATAAACTGAGCAAATGGCTAGACCTGATTCAATAAGCAATGAGAGCTGACATTTCAAATACCACGACAACATTTTAGAGCTGATCTGATATGGTTAAATGGTGTCAATACCAGCACAACTCACCTTTGTCAAGGAATTCCAGGGAATGGAGCAACTCCCAGCTCTCCCTGGCCAGTTTGAAGCTCTCCAGCACTTCGATGGAGTTGCTGAGCTCTGCTTTGCTGACAACAATATGCCGGTTTCTTCCTTTTGCGGAACATTCTTCATCATCTGAACTCTGCTTACGGGAAGAACACGGCTCATTGGAAGTGGTACATGCCATCACAGCTGCAACGTTAGTCCTGTTCTGAACTCGGTCTTCTATGGCTTTCATAGCAAAGAATACTGCATGTGCAGTGTTTCCCATTTAATATTGACTCCAATGATCAATACATGATTTTCATCTTAGCATTCTCATGCTGTAGAGTTGTTTGTCTAAAATTAAGTTTGTTGATTTCTTATAAATTCAAAACACATCATTTTAATCAAAGTCAAATCAAAACAGATTCTTATACTGAAAGATAATGTGTAAGTGGCACTCACTTTAGTTTCTCATTTCCTTAATATGAGACATTAATTAATTTGGTTCCTCACAACAGTCTGCCACACAAGAGAATACACAGAAGCCCACTCAATCCCTAAGACCCGGAAGCAGCTGCCTGTTAGTGCCCCTTCTGCTCTGCACACATATGCTGAGGTGTGAGTCTTACAGTAAAGACTTCTACCACTCTTCCCGTCATACAGAGCCAAAGAACCAAGAGAGCTGCAGAGAAAGGCCACTACCAGAAACGTCAGTGCCACGTCTAGAGATGCTAACAAAAGAGTCAAGGTCACACAGGCCACGGAGCTTCACGCTGTCACCAATTTCTCCAGTCAGTTATTCTGCCCAATCACTTGACCATGTCAGCAGCCCCAATCAAACCGTCCGCGCTCTCAGCACACTCAGTCACTGTAGCTCAGAGGCTCGGTGAAGCACACAGCCCCAGCTCACCTCACACGACACTGCCTGGGATGCCTGCTTTCTTTAAAATCAAATAAAGATTTATTTTCATTATTTTTAACTATGTGTAAGTGTACATTAGGTATGCCCTCGTGACTGCAGGCGCTCTCAGATAACAGAGGTGCTGAGTTCATCACCTAGATGACAGAGACAGAGACAGCTAGAGACAGAGAGTTAGCATTTGCCTGATATAGGTGGTGGGAACTGAACTCAGGTCCTCTGGAAGAGCTATTAATCAGGTGCTATTAACCACTGAGCAGTCTCTTGGGTCCCAGGTGCCTCCTCTCTGATAGCCATCCTCCCTGCCTTCAGATCTTAGTGCCCTCCTGCTGCTTCTCGTACCTGGAAAATCTACCCTATACACTTGTGCACCGCAGGAATCACACACACACACACACACACACACACACACACACACACACACTCAGCTGGATATCCTATTTCATCAGAGCCCTGTTTCCTATCAAGGAGAAGTGAATTAGTGATGTGGGAGTGTCATATATCAATCTGTTGATTTCATTGGCTGAGCAATAAAGAAACTGCTGGCCCTGATAGGTTAAAAGATAGGTGGGTGGAATAAACAGGATAGGATGCTGGGCAGAAGAGGAAGTGAGGTCAGACTCTGCGCTGCTTCCAAAGGGACCGGACAGCCGCCATGCTCTGCTCTCCCAGGCAGCTGCAACCCATGATGGACTTAGGCTAGAATCTTCCCGGTAAGCGCACCTTGTGGTGCTTACAAACATCATTAGAAATGGGCTAGTCCAGGTGCGAGAATTAGCCTGTAAGGGCTAGGGTTCATGGGCCAAGCAGTTCTTAAATGAATACAGTTTGTGTGTTGTTATTTCGGGCATAAGCTAGCCAAGCGGCCGGGGTGTTGGGGACGCAGCCCCGCCGCCGCTCATATTTCAACAAATTAGGACCCTATTTACTATTGTAAATGGTGAGTTCAATAGTGTTGCAACCTATGAAAGACAGTTCTGCTTCCAAACTAGGTCATACATTTATTAAAGAAGCCCAAATTTCAGGGAAGACACTATGGCATTCCAAACAGCCTGCAAAAGTTTGAGAAATCCATCTTGAAATACACACAGTCTGAAGGGAACACACTTACGCATGTGCTTAGGAGGAGAGGACCAGCACTTGGTGAGCACACACCGTGAGGCTGAGCGGAGACCGCCTCTAAAGCTTGAAGAAAGCCTTCCTGTTTCTTTCCACCCTGAAGCCCATTGAAGCCATCATACATCCTACTCCAGCCAACGGTTCCCAGGGGGTTGTGTAATTTCACCAATACCCATCAGTCAAAACATAGTTAAGTAACTCAAAGTAGGGTTCACAGACCGTGACACCCCCAGGCTGCTGAGATGTTCTGTATCCCTGGCCTCTACCCACCCGAGGCAGCCAATACCAATCCCTCTCACAGAACCACAGCTGAGACGATCAAAAATGTCTCCAGGCATTCATTGTCAAATGACCCAGGGAGACAAGGGGCACAAAATCACCTCCACTGAAGACAACTACCTTGCTTAATTGTACTGTCTTCTAGTAAGTTTTACGTTACAAATGACACACACAATGTTAGTGATTAAGAGGAAAGGTTACCATGGTTTTTTCTCTTCCCTCAGCTAGCTTCCTCTTCTTGTGTATGTGTTTACTGCGATCAATTTCGACATCACCATACACATTGGCCACATCTTCCAGGAGAACTAGGGGAACCTGGCTTGGGGCGTTAGGACCTACACAGAGGAGGACAGAGGAATGTTACAAATGAAGTCAGAAAAAGAGTAGTGAATATGAGCAGGTCAAGTGCCACATGAAAATAAAGGTCATAAAAATATTCCCAGCGTTCCTGACTAGGTAAACAAGAGCATCTCTGCACACAGGAATAAAGGCCGTATGATCATACATGTGCTGGATTGTTACAAAGGGCTGAACACGAGTGACTGTTCCTTCTTTGCATTTGTTCTTATGCATCTGTACTTAAACAATGACCATGAAGTATAAAATGATCATGAACATTACATGCACAGCATAACTACATGCTTCAAACAAAACAGAACATATGAAAAACCATAACACACAATATATATATAGATGATAGATAGATAGATGATAGATAGATAGATAGATAGATAGATAGATAGATAGATAAGATTAAATCTTTATCTGTTGTGCTGTCTTCATAAAATCTATGTTTTTAGTTTTTTGAAAGAGGGTCTCATGTGTAGTCCAGGCCTGGCCTCAAACTTAGTATGTAGCTTCCTTTTCTCTCTCTCTCTTGGAAGAGGCAGCTTCTACCTCGCTCCCTTCTCCTCACTTCTGCCTTCCCCCTGTTTCTCTCTGTCTCTCTCTCTGCTCTTCCCCTTCTTCCCTTTCCCTTCCCCTCCATAACCCACTAAATAAATACCCACTTTCTCTGAAAACAAAACAAAACATAAAAACAAATTAAAAAAAAAAAACTTAGTAAGTGGCCAAGGCTGTCCTTGAACTGCTAATCCCTTCTCATCCCCCAAAGTGTTGACTTCCTTTTCAAACAGGAATTCAGTATCCCTATTTAGTTATAGGTCTTAATACAGGAATTCCTAGTGAGAGATAGATACATAGAAACTTAATCAATAGAAACCAAATTAAATCATCAATGACAAAGAGCACTGGTACCACCCTACGACTTTTTAATCCCACAGCAATGGTGAAAGTAGAAAGTTGTAAAATACTTCTGTCTCCCTCTTATCCGCACTAAACTAGTATTTTGGGTTTCACACCAGCACACACACGAGCGAGCTGACCTTGGAAGAGAGATGGCTGGATGCTGCTAATGTACTGGAATGCACTCTTGAAGAAGACCAGCATCGTGGAGTAGAGCACTTGGTTCTTATAGTTGGCATGAGCCTCGCTGTCGAAGCTGTTCATGTACCTGCAGAGCTCCTTCATCCGGTGCAGGATGTCGCTGCAGCTCCTGGGGGGAGGGAACAAAATTCACCTTACTGCCTGCCAGCAAACGACGGAGGAAAAGCGCTGAGAGAAACACTGCACTTGCCAGAGGCAGCTGTGGGTATCTGGGCATAGAAACTGCTGTAGTATTAAGTAAAATGAAACTTTAAAAAATTATTTTATGTACATTGGTGTTTCCTGCATGTCTATCTGTGTGAAGGTGTCAAATCCCCTGGAGCTGACATTGTAGAAGGTGTGAGCTGCCACGTGGGTGCTGGGAATTGAACCAGGACTTCTGGAAGATCAGTCGGTGCTCTCAATTACTAGACCATTATTTCAGTCCCTTAAAAACTTACTTTACCTGTACAAATTCATGTGATATGTTATGATAATCTAATACAGTATATAATCAAATGGGGTAATTAATATTTCTAGCCCCTTAAACATTAAAAAAACTATATATATTCACAAAGGCCCAGTGTAACATTTTACACAATGTATCATACGCAAATCAAATCAGGGTAATTAGGTTTCTTTTTAGACAGGGCTTTTTGAGACCAGTCTTAGCTGGTCTGGAATACACTAAGAAGACCAACGTGGCCTTGAACTGACAGATCTACCTGTTCTGCCTCCAGAGTTCTAGGATTAAAAGCGTGTGCCACCAGTCCTGGCCCTCGGGTAATTAAGTTTCAGCCTCCATACCATCAATTAGGACACTTCAAACTCCTCTATTCCAATTATGTAAATTAAACATAAAATCAGCTATTACCGGGCTGTGGTTCAGCAATGGAGAACGTGCCTGGCCTAAGCAGAACCTGGGTTCAATCCTCAGCACCACACACAGCTAAGCTATTGTGACTCACCATGCACCTTCTGCGTTTAGGACATCAGAAGTTATTTTTCTGTAACAATTATATTTGGATATTGTTAGCTGACGTTTTGCTACTTCCTTTCCCAACCCCATTCACAGGCACACTCAATCACTATTCTACATTCCAAACAGCATTTATTAACGTCATGGCGAATTTGCCTGTATCTGACTTACTTCACGTAGGTCATCTAGGCTCATCTATTTTGCCAAAAATGATGCAAGATGATGCCTTATGGCTGAATAATGTTGTAATATATCTCTATCAGACTCCCATTTTCTTTATACATTCACGGGTACCTAGACTGATTCCGGATCATAGCTACTGAAAACAGCATAGTAGCAAACAAACATACAGATGTCTCTTTCATATGCTGAGTCCCTCTGGAATCGACAGCGGGATGAAAGGTGACTTACTGTCAGATGTTGTGGCCCTTCCACACTATTTTGCGTAACAGCTGCACTAATTTACATCCCTATCAACAGTTCAGTGCTAATTTTTCTCCGCTCCGAAGATTTATTATTTCTCATCTTTTTGTCATTGTGTTTGCCACTTGAGTTCTTCTGAGACATGTTTATTCATATTAAAGTCATTCTTTATTATTTGCATGACTGGTGAATTTCCCCTTCTGACCTGGAGCTGAGAACAAAGACAACCTCATGACAGAAGCATATCAAGTTAACTTCTTTTTTCTCGGCATGGATAGGATAGGATCAAGTTCTCAGTATGTTCTTTTTAAATTTATTTACTTTTTATTGTTTTGTGTGGGGATTTTTGTATTTTTTTTGTATGCATACCTTCCTTACCTTCCCCTTCCTCCCTCCCTCCTGTCTTTCTTTCTTTCTTTGAGACAAGGTTTCTCTGTAAAGTACTATCCTGAAACTTGCTTTGCAGACCCTGGCCTAGAACTCAAGAGATCCACCTACCTTTGCCTCCCCAGTGCTGGGATTAAATACGCGCACCACCACACTCAGTACTGTCTTACTGTTTGTAATTTGTGTGTTTGTTTGTGTGTGGCACAGATCAAGGGTGGTACTGGAATCACGTAAGTGCATGTCCTTGTGAAGCTGATGCCGAAAGTCTCACATTGTTTATTGGGAAAAGAGCTCTCACTGAATCTCGAACAAGACAATTCAAGCTTGTCTAGATGGCCAGATCACCCCAAGAATTCCATCTCTGTCTCCCCAGTGCTGGGCTTACAGGCAGCTGTCACACTTGTAAGCAAGCACTTACCCATTGGGCTTCTCCCCAGCCCCGCTCAGCACATTTCAGGAGTTCCCTACAGCTGGGAATCTTAGATAAGATGAAAAAGTGCCCTCTTCTCTTGCATAAATGGTGACTGCTACAAAACTGCCCTGCAGAGAAGTGTATCTACGCACGATGCTTATGTTCTTAGAAGCTTTTGTTTTGTACAAGGGTCCTGAGATGACACACTGAAGATTTAATGAGCAATTCTGTAATCAACCGTTCATTACCGTCTCCCTTTATCCGTCTGCCATTCGCATCTCATGCCAACCACATTCAGAATCTTAAACAACCTCTCCCAAGGGTCTACAATCTGGGATGACTTCTCGGTCAGGCCTTCTATTATGTACTTCTGAGAGTTACGTTTGCTAGGCGACATTAAATCAGATGTATCCTGTGCACCTGAGACATGAGAAAAAGTAACCTACAATTAATATCACTGCTTATTTATATGGTACTTGACAGAGAAAAAAAAATCTTCACTCAAAAGACAAAAGTACTGAGCATAATACGTCCCCCCCTTCTAACTACGTATTTATATGGCACTAGACAAAGGAGCCAAACATCTGAATCCTCACTCAAAAGGCTAAGTACGACCCTGACACATGTCCCACAGTGCTCTCAGAGGGGTCCCCTAAGTGATGCATTGCTTACACAACTGAAGCCTCTAAGGTCACATGGGAGCTCCTCTCACCATCCCCCAGGAGCAGAGAGCTACAGAAAAGATGACGCTGCAGAACGCCAGGACAGCTCGGGCGCAGACCAGGGTACGTTTATGCCTTTGTTGTTTTTAAAGAGGAGCTGGTCACTGAGGGACACAGTTTTGGGTGCTTCTCTCACTTTCTTTTTTTCTTTTTGATATTAGAAAACTTTATTTTCCACAATTCTTAAATTTTTAATTAAAATATAATTACGTTATTCACCTTTCCCAATCCATCCCCAAACTGCCATCTCCAACAAAAGTTTAAAACATGAAAAAATTTTCCTAGAGAAAAACTTATAAAGACACAAACTATTTTTCCAGTTAAGTAATGTGTTTCAAGTATTAAAAAGAATCAAAAGTTTTTCAGAAACATCAAAAAGTTGAAAGCTACAGTAGCAATTTATCAGTAAAGAAAGACAGAACTGTTTTATGACAGCCGAGTTTAGAGAATTTGTAATCCACAGCTGTGTGCAATGAACTGAGGCCTTCCCTCTCCTGAGCCCTCCCACACCCAGTCAGTTCCAGTCCTGCGAGAGCTGCTGCTGACAAGCGCCACCTCCAGTGGTGTCCTCGTCTCATACAATGCTCTTCCACTAAACATTCTGTACACTCAGGACCGCTGAGATACACGAATACCGTGTGCTGCTGCTGCCTACAGTATTCAGTACCGTAACTGTACATTTGTGCTCTACGTGATACAGAATATTCCTTTACGTTGTGAAGATGTATCTTTGCCAAGGTGCCTTCTGATTGGTTTAATAAAGAGCTGAATGGCCAATAACTAGGCAAGGAGAGGCTAGGTGGGAATTCTGGGCAGAGAGAAAAGAGGAGATGAATCTAGGCACAAGACGGTCATGAGGCAAAACACAGATTACTATAAATGGGTTAAGTTGTAAGAGCTAGTGAACAAGCCTCAGCTATAGGTCAAGCTTTCATGATTAATAATAAGGTTCCATGTCGGGTTTGTGTGTGTGTGTGTGTGTGTGTGTGTGTGTGTGTGTGTGTGTATGTGTGAGAGAGAGAGAGAGAGAGAGAGAGAGAGAGAGAGAGAGAGAGAGAGAGTGAGTGTGCTGGCAGTCCAGAGAAAAATCCATTAACATATGGTACCCAATGTGGGGGCTAAAATATCCAAAATAAGACCAGAGAAAGCTAAGAAAAGTTCTGGATAGCCAGGTGGTGGTGGCACATGCCTTCAATCCCAGCACTTGGGAGGCAGAGGCAGGTGGATCTCTGTGAGTTCGAGGCCAGCCTGGTCTACAAGAGTTAGTTTCAGGACAGTCTCCAAAGCTACAGAGAAATTCTGTCTCAAAAAAACAACAAGAAAAAAAAATTAAATAAATAAATAAATAAAGGTCTGGACAAAGAGCCAGTAGCTTCCTGCCTGGTCCTGCAGTCTTCTCAGGCAGGCTAGTGTTCGGTGGTATACAGAGGAGGAGCTACCAGCTGCTGCCTGTGGGCTGGAGCCAGGCAGCAGCACCATGCACTAAGATGAACCTTGCAGCAGCTGACATGGCAGTTTAGATTTGTCTCAGGTGCTCAGTAAAGTCAGATTCAGATTTGGGAAAAAACCAAATCTGATTGTGAACTTTCTGACTGCTGAGGAGTGAACATCTGCTGAGCAATACGGATTCCACGAGGGAATGATGAACTAAACCAGCGCAGATAGAAAATGGAAGTCAGAAAATGTACTGCTTTGGGGAAGAGGTTATGCTTTTGTTTCCACACAAGGTTAAAGAGGATCAGGATTGATCAGGGGATACCTGCTGAAACTCCTGACTATAGACATTAAGAAATAAAACTAAAAACAGAAAATTACAAGACTCATGATGTGTATTTTATCTGCTCAAACATAAAAGAAAAAAATCATCTTTTATTGGCTTGTGTATAACACACAGTCCATACTTGTATTAATTCAGATATGTAAGTTACCTTTAAAAGTTTGTGTTGTCAGTGCAAGGGGATGAGACACTAATGAAACCAGGTGGGCCTCTCAGAATGCCTGTTGCAGTTTCCTCAGAGCTCTGCATGCAGAACAGCTTCAAGGCTGCTGGCTGAGATGGTCCAGCCTTGCAGACTATTCGAGGAATGCAGATACGTCTTACATTTTCACATTACACAAGAACTGAACAGCAAGTGTTATGGCTAGTTTTTTCAGGACCTGACCATTATCTCACTTTTCTCAGGGTTCCCTAAAGATGCCATCACCTCCAGACAGTAGGAGGCAGCCTAGAGAATATGATGTCCACATTCCCAAGAGGTGTGATGGGTGGTTTTTGGTCGTCTGGTGGATTATGGATGTTTGTCATCATTTAGGGGGATTGGTTACAAACTGTTACTGGTCATGATCAGGGAGAAGCTAAAAAAGGCGATCAGATTCAGGGATCTCTTTCTGAAGTGAAAAGGGGGTGGGGGATATAGTATAGAAATATGAGATAAAAGGGTAGATTGTTGAGTCTACTTTTGAACAACCACCAGTCTCATATAGTTTACAATGTATGGATTTTTGTATAGTGATACAAATTTAAGGTTATTTTTGCTATACGGTATATATGTTTCTATTCTTATTTAAGGTATTATACCTATGCGGCTCATTTAAAAAGGCAATATAAAATTTTAGTCCTTAAAAGCTATTTAGAATAATAAAGAAAATACAGGTTAATAGTCATCTATAACAATCAAACTTATAGCAATGCTAGGTATGTTTTCAAGGTCTAACAGAGATATAGTTTAAATAGACAGATGGTCTTTAAATACTTAAAAGACCTAAAAAATGTGCAATTTAAAATGTTTTCAATAACCTACGGCTTCTCATAATAATGAGACATGTCTGTTTCTGGAAGTACCAATCTACTTCATAAAGGAATTATGGACATCGAAAAACCTCCTTATAGAGTTTGCTTGCATTTGTGGTAAGGTTAGCCATGAGGCAAAGGAACTGCCCTTCCCTCAACTTCTGACAGAATGCTGTCCAAATTGGACAAGCAGGACACAAAAGAAAGTGACTGCCAACCTTTGCCAAGACAAGGTAGACCAGTCTTTCAAAATTCCTGCTTCACAGAAAAGTCTGTCATGTATTTTAGAACTGTAGGCAGAAGATGGATGCCCCAGTGTTACGGAGAAACCTTGGGGTGACTGTCCAGGCAGCCATATGTCTCTGTCACTTCTTAGTTTTGGAATTTGTTTGCTCTCCATTTCCTATTTACTGAAGTAATATTTTATCCTTCCTGGGTCTCTGATGGAGCTAAAGATGAGATAGTTATAGCTACAATTTTGTTACCAAATTCAGGAAAGAAACTTACAAAAGAGATGTAAAATGTAGATGGATGAGAGACATAAAAGCTTGTTTTTGTTTATCTATGAAAATGTTTTACATTCTAAAAAGATATTTTAAAGTTGGTAATACAAGCTATAATAAAAAATGGCTTAGTTATAAAACTCTGGACTCACTAAGATAAGCTAGATAATACAGTACTTTCTCCAGATTTTCCAAATGCACGTGAACTGCACATTATAAATGTAATTCTTACTTGGAAATTGTTCTTATTGTATATAGTTTTACTTTGTTAAAGTTAAAAGCTTCCCTTTTTATTTAGACCATTACTGATAATTGTTCTTTATTGTGTTAGAGTTAAAATCTTTCCTTTCCATTTTATTTAAACAAAATGAGGAAATGTTGTGGAATATTTCTTTACATTGTGAAGATGTGTCTTTGCCAAGGCACCTTCTGATTGCTTTAATAAAAAGCTGAATGGCCAATAGCTAGGCAGGAAGAGGCTAGGCAGGACTTCCGGGCAGAGAGAAAAGAAGAGGAGATAAATTGAGGTGCAGAAGAGACACTAGAGGAGATGGAGAGGTAAAAGCCATGAGCCGTGTGACAGCACACAGTTTAATAGAAATGGGTTAGTTAGAAACAAGCCTAAGCTAAGGCTGGCAGTCCAAGGAAATCAGCTAGATCATGGGCTATATCACAGAGAGGGCTCTACCACCTAGCTTGTACCAATGATGTTCACACAGTGAAACTGCTAACCGCACATGTGAGATGACTGTGCTTGTTTGGCTCCACGATCCACGACTGCTGGCTGGTAAAGGAGGTGGCTTTTGAGCTATGGCACCCGGGTGGCGCTCAAGGTACCCGTGTGATGTTACGAACCATACTATTTCAATCAAGGGGTAGAATTGATTACAGAAATAGTTACATACTTCTTTTAGGAAAACTATCAAACTAACACACATTCAGAGAGGGACTTCTGAGGGACTTTAGCAAACTAAGTCTGAGCAGTAGGATGCTTCACTCACCTTGATGCGGATTTTCCAGCTGTGTGGACCGAGTGACATAGTTGATGTAGAATTCGGCCGCTTTGTTCAAGTATTTATATAACAAATTGGCAGGCAATCGAACATCATGGTTGTTAATTATTAGAGGAAGGACATCACAAACTGTTGCAAGGAGAAAACAGACTATTCAGGTTGTTTGTCCTAGGGTTCTAGCAGAAAGTAACTAATTTTCTGCAGCATCTAAAATATATAGGGGGAATCACCCTGGCACAACTGCTTAAACGAGCTGTACTGAAGGACATCAGTGGAGGGAGGCTGAGAGAAAATATGCCCGTGGGCAGAGATCTGCTGGCCCCGGGAGGGGTCTGTGGCTATGACTATGCTTCATATGCACACACATGCTGTACACATTCTAGCAGAGATAGCAAATACTAAAGAACACACAAGAGGTTTTTCTTTTAAATGCTTTGCAGGTAAAAGCAAGGTTAAATTTCATAATATAAAGAGCTCCTTTGCTTTGTACAGGTAACCTTACTCCAGAAATGACAATCCCAGATACTCTACTTACCCCAATTAAATAATACAAAATACAGTGCTTCTTACCAAATAGCTTTCGAAAGCAATTAACGGGAGACTCCTGCTCTTCAATGGTCTCAGCTTCTAGCAGTGCCTCCCCAAGGCCAACCTGTTTAAAGACAAAAATCACCTCATGTGCACAGTGCAAGATGTCAGAATCACAGGAAGAAACAGTATTCTGTTATTTGTCACAAATTTCTCAAAGAAAAACAATTCTATTTTAAAGACTAGAAACGTCAGAGTACATCAGTGCAGCGACATTGCCCCGGATCAAGTTCACTGACTCCCTGTCCACCCGTCTCATGCTCCTCTGAACAGGCAAAGTTAGAGGGCTAACAAAGTGTCTACAGAAAGTCCAGCGCGACAGTGGAGGATAGCACAAATGATGGCAGCTGGAGAGATTTTCTAAGACATTGGAAACCAACTTTACTCTCTATTAAGAAATACAAGAATGACAACAGCTACTCTCAAGAGACCCCAGTAGATAATCTTACAGTTGGGGAAGCACTGGGCAAAAATGTCTGAGTTTTAAGGCCACCTTCCCCTCACTCGTGTCCCGGCACTGCAAAGTCTATCAATCCACTCACACATTCATTTTATTCTCTTTGCAACACTGTAGTCTTGTTGGGACAGCATAAAAGATCACAGGACAAACAAAGTAAAATGCCACTACAACAAGCAAAGAATATAAGATCAAAATTGTGTCCCCCAAATCATATCCATTGAAGACCTCAGAATGCCTGTCATGCATGGCTTACAATAGGGACTGATGCATCAGTAGGAATTTCACGCGGAATATATACCATGTTGTCCCTGCACAATATAACCTCATAGGACCACTACCATGTACACAGTTCATCACTGAACAAAATCTCTTTAAGGGCTGCATGGCTGCATTGCTCACCTTTAAAGATGAGCATTGTCCATGTAGATAAATTAGTTAAAATGAGCTCACTGTACAATAGGCCAGATGCAGCGAGTGGTGGCCCTTAAAGAGATTTTGGTTTATTTATGGGGGAAAAGAAATATGCCACGACATTCAAGTGGAGATCAGAGGACAGTTTGCTGTGATCCATTTCCTTCTTCCGTCATGTGGGACCTAGGGATGGGATTCAGGTTGCTCAGCTTGGTGGAGAGCCCTTAAATTCAAACACATTGTCAAACACGATGGAAACAGGTAACTTTCTACTGAATAACACCATCAAATTTGGGGGACTATAACCTAAGGTTGATAGGAAGATATCTGGAGATGTGTAATGAATGCCAGGGAATCGAGTGATAAGCAACTGCAGTCCTCTCTTAAAGAAAAGCAAGGAGTCAGCCCTACCCCATGCTGCACCACGGTCTCAGGGAAGCGCCTCAGAAGCAGCAGCAGCATCTCTGACCGTTCCAATGTGTTGAAGCATTGCTCTGTCACCTTTAGCAACATTTCACACTGGACCCGACCCGGAAGAGTTTCAAACAAGCCTGCAAACAAAATTTCACCTCTGAAGTTTTTTTTTTTCCCCCCACAAAGAAAATGTTGACCTGAAAGAAGTAAGGTATTCTTTTCCATTCATAAAACTGTAAACACTTGGAATTCACCTGCACACTAGCAGACTTCTGGACTCCAGAGTATTTGGCAGAAGCGGTTTGCTGAATAATCATGAAACATTTGGAGGCCTGATGGTCCAGAGGGCAGGCATGACCTGAGTGTTTCATCACCACAGACCATGCTACACTAAGAGAAAGGCAGGAACTTGCTGAAGTTGAAATGACCGAAACCATCTGCTTGCGAATTATCTAGAATTGCTCATCGTTGGTTGGGTATAGCAACCAACCCAGAAGTTCGAAGTTTTTCTCCTATTTTGTGAAGATTGGGTTTATCTATAGATGCTTTCTGGTTATTGTAAAATGTGTCCAAAATACAATCTCCTGATTTCACTGAGAGACTGCCATGCCATAGGACCCCTTAGTAAGTAAGTGTTCTACGTAAATTCTGAAGTGACCAAGTGACGTCACCGCAGACTTTCACTGCCTAGCATAAACCATACTGTGGGCACCACTATGACAGGTGTGACTGAGAGGTCTGTGACAGACACGGTATCCCAGAAGTCGGCATAACTGTTACTCACTCCTTAAAAACTGGGTTTGCGTATCCTGCGAATCATTCCTCAGTGCTGATGTTATGATACTGATTTCTCTCCACACCACCGGCTGTTCTGGGAAATTCACAAACCTATTTTTAAAATGAACACACCAAAGTAAGATACCAGATTCAACAAAGTAAAAAACCAGCATGTAGAGAAAACCTCTTTTCTTTACGCAAATGTTTATAAACATCAAAATACGCCAAGATAAATGCACAGAATAGCCTATTAGTTAAAATAACTGAGAATCCTCATAGAGTCTCTAGATGTTTCTAGAAACGGGGGGACTGTGGATGCAGCTCAGTTGTTAGGTAGCGTGCTTGCTTATCATGCACAAAGCCCAGGGTTCCATCCCTGTGCCCCATAAGCCAGATGTGGTAGTGAATGCTTATAACTTGAGAGGTAAAGGCAAGAGGATCAGATTCAAGGTTGTCCTCAGCTACATTTAATGAATTTGAACCCACAGCAATCTGGGATGCATGAGACCTGGTCTCAGAAACAAAGAGAAAACAAAAGCAGTCTGAAAGCCCTCATTCATCTTTTGCACAAACAAGGGGCCAGCTACCCTGCTCCTTTTGCCAAGTGGTCCCACCAAGATGAACTGTATCTTCAAACCCCGAGTCAGAATATACCCTTCCTTTCTATCAGTCACAGCAATAGAAAAAGTGATACTCTATAAAAAAAAAAAAAAAGGCAAATCACTGACCACAAATAAACAAAGAGAAGAGTGGCAGTAATACTCCACACTTTTGGTAGCATCAGGGGCACAAGCTTAAGAAACAAAATAGCAAGGTACGATTTTCCCCATGACACGGGCCAGTTGTGGTATAGCCTGTGTCCCAGTTACAAGGGGGCTAAGATAGGAGGAGTATGTGAGTCTTTTGAGTTCAAAACCACCCTGGCCAATGAAGTGAGATTCCTCTGTCTCACGGGAAAGAAAGAAAAGAAGAAAAAGGGGGAAGGGTAGAGAAAAGAAGAAATAAAAAAGGAGATAGAGACAATCATTTAAAGGTTGCTGGGAGTGTGGAAAACTGACAACCTTATATATATATATATCATTTGTGGAAATAGATATTTAGGATACCCTTTGTAGAGAACAGCTCGATAGGTGATGAAATGCACATACCCTTTTGCTACAAATTAGAGACACCAAAATACGGGCAGAGAAGCGCTGACATTCCAGACATAGTTTAAAATAACTGGAAATGTGCACCAAGAACGTGGAGGCTGAGAAGCGCTACATGGAAAGGAAGAACAAGCATCTCTATAAAGTAGACATGGGGGGGCCCACCATAGTGGGTAATGAAAACAAGCTTCAGAGTGAGAGTACGGTGCCCTCACTCTGTCAGCTCCCCAACGTATTTATGTGTTTCCATAGAGATGCACAGATACACACAAAACTTAAACCTTCTTTAGTCGGGATTTTCACATTTCATTCTATCAATGCTGGTTTCTTACATAAACCACGGGATACAAATTTGGCGATTAAAATACAAAAATAAGCCATCTCTGCAGCAGGCGTGTTGGCAATTAAGACGGCCTGAGTTCTGGGTACCAGGGATGCAGCGTCCCATCTTCTATCAGTTGCTGATATCTGAAAAGCCCCCTGAGAGTGTCCACAAAAGGTCCTGGAAGGATCCCAGATAATTAACTCACATGTCATACAGCAACCTCCCCGCAGTGGCAGTCCTCTCTGCATTCCGCTCGATGGTGTACATCTCATACTGAAACAAGGCACACAGGGTCACAACCACCTTCCACCACCGCAGTAGCTGGCCCAGCTCCAGCCCACCTGCCGCGCCGCTCAGGGTTGGGCCTTCACCCAAAAGACCCCCAAGGGAAAGGACAGACTGAGCACAAAACATCCCGTGGTGGCCCCGAGCTCGGGACTGGGGTTCAGGGTTCATTCCATCCGCGGGGTTTCTGGGATCGACTGGGATAACGTTTCCGTGCAGCAGGCAGTGAACAGATGGCTGCCACCGTGATCAATGAATGAGTGGCCTGGGCCCTCATCTAGTGTGTGGTCTCCGCCTTGCCAGGCGCTGGGGGCGAGGCTGGTCGACTGTGCAGTGTGGGGAGGGAGTCCCGGCCGTGATCCGCACCCAGGGCCGCCCAGCTCGGCTAAACGCTCCCCTCCGTGCGTGCGCAGCGCCGTGCCTGTCTCACCTGGATGTTGAAGTCGGCCGGGTAGAGGCTGCGGGCCGTGATAAGCCATGCCTTGGCTGCCCACAGGTCCTGGGGCACCAGCTCTCGGGCTCGCTGCACCAGGAACTCACAGTCGCCCTGGGCCGACATCACCCCGGCGACAAGCGCTTCCGGCGGGGACTCCCACGGCGCCACCAGCACCCGCCCCTCGCACCCCGCGGGCGACCACTGCGCATGCCCGCAGGCCAGCCAACCACGTGGCGCAGCGTCTCTTTGGAGTTCACTGGAAATTCCGGAGAAGTGGATTTACAGTGCTCGGATTGGCATCCGGTACGCCAGAACCCGCGATCCGGGCTCCAGGTTCTAGCGTTCGCCTAGGACCCTAAGCGCGCGGGTGCGCACAGTTCCGAGTGTTCCTGAGAGTCACGAGCTGGTACCCTGAGTGTTCCCGAGTGTCCGAGCTGGTGTCCGGGGCTGGGGTGCAGCTGGAGAGAAAGCACCACGGAGTGCTGGGCTCTGCGGTACCCGAAGGTCCCCACCCCTGCAGACGTGAAAACCTAGGCTTGCCTGTTGCTTTTGAGCTTTGTTGAAGTCCGGTAGTCGCCCCCCCGCCTCTGCTCTGTTTGTTTCGCCTGAATCCTGAATCTGTCATTTTTCTCCAATACTGAACAATTAGCATTTAGAAAACCCTCAGCTGTGCGACCGAACAGCCCAGCAAGTGTTAAAATCTTTGGTCAAACGTTTGACCAACGAAAAAATACCTGCAGTATAAATCGGTGACACTTTAATGAAACCCCGGCTTTGTTTTGCGTTTGAGCCCTAGAAAAAAATTGCCTCCCTGTTCTGTTGACAAGGCACTATTCATTTGCTGAATTGGAAGAGAGTCCCGAAAGTAAGTTTTCAACGTGAGTCCTATAGTATATATAGTTTCTATTAATTGTTGTCACCAATTGCCAAATAAAAGCAGGAGATAAAAGAGTCAAAGCTGACTGAATTGGTTTTTTGTTTGTTTGTTTGTTTTTTTGAGACACTTTCTGAGCCCAAACTGGCCTTGAACTTTGTGCCGGAGGATGACCTTGAACTCCTAATCCTCGACTTCCACCTCCCTAGGGCTGAACGTCTACTCGTCCAGACTTAATTTTTTTTAATATTTATTTATTTATTTATTATGTATACAATATTCTGTCTGTGTATATGCCTGCAGGCCA